ACGACTGAATTAATCTCTTTATTCGAAATTAATTATCCTTTTTCTGAAATGTCGACATTTTCCTTTGAATTTTTTTTGCCAAATATTTTAAAAATTTCCTCTTCCTAATTCTTTTCAGAATTTTATTTATTTATTTATTCATTTTTCCCCCGTAATTCGAAAATATTTTCTTTCGAAATTTCACGTTCTCTTGTAAATAAATTTAAATCTAGATCAGAATTTATTTTTTCAAAATTAATTAACTCTTTCTGTTCAGCGTTTATTTTGGAAAAAAAAAAAACTTGGGGATTATCTTTATTTTTGAATTTATTAATAAATTAAAAAAAGGGGATTCCCCCCCACCCTCCACATGCCACCACGCCAAACCAAGAACTCCCAACGTGCTGCCGCCGCCGCCACCGTTGCTGCTGCATCTTCCACCCCCGTTCAGGCCACGTCCTCCACCCCCTCTTCCCCCGACATGGCCGCATCCTTCATCAACATGTCTGACATCCGCACCGACTCAGTCGATAGCATCGCCCGCAACCTCGCCGGCGAACAACCACCAGCAAACACCACCACCCCCGACCTCTCTGCCATCCTCCACGCACTCAACACCTTCCAAACCTCCGTCACCGCCTCTCTCGACGACATAAAGGCCAACGTGTCATCTTTCTGCGACCGCGTCACCACGCTCGAAGGGACCACCCCCCCCATCACGGTCGTCACCATCGCGCAAACCACTCCAACCCCCATAGTGCAAACTACTCCAACCTCCACAGTGCAAACTACTCCAACCTCCACAGCCGCCTCTAGCAACACCCCCCCGCCGACCTCCTCCACTCCTACCACCTCTACCGCCATATCCACCAACCCTTCAATCCCCACCATCATTCCGTTCCCTCCACCTCTCCCTCATCCGGCGCATCCAGCACACCTCTTACCCCCCCGCACTCCCAAACCCTCTCCCAACCCATCATGACCACCTCCACCATCCCCACCATCCGTCCCACCTATTCCCAAGTCACCTCCGGGGCTTTCCCCGCAATGCCACAACTTCCCCCCAACTACCTCCTTGAGGACAACAACCAAATYGACCACACCTGCTACGACACCACCCCAGATAACCTCACCTTCAACACCCTCGCGCAGATCGTTCACCGCGACGGGGAAATCCCCCGTTCCTTCCGATCTGGCGAAATCATGTTCGGCCTCCCCCACGAGGACGTTTTCCTCTTCCTAACCCAGCTTCAGAACTCTTTTCAGCTCCACCACATGCCCCTTGCCCACTGGCTCCCCATTGCC